TTATTGAATAAACTATGTGCATGTTAAGGAGTCATTCCATCTTTTACCATTTTTACGCTTTTGCAGACTGTATCACACACAAATCACACAACACAGACACACCAGACACACACACACACAACACACACACCCACACACACACACACACACACCACACACCACAACCACACAACACGCACACGCACACGCGCACGCGCACACGCACACACGCACACACCAAATACCCATGTATACATCACTTCAGGGGACATTACATTGACTTACATGCCTTTCCTGGAGACTTATCCTACCTTAAACCATAACCAACACATGCCGTACCCTACCCTAACCCTAACCAAGTCTTCACCCTAAAATTAATGAGTCCCCACACCGTGACTGTGTAAACAGATTTAGGTCCCCACAAATATAGTAATGCTAGGCCACACACACACACACACACACACACACACACACACGCACACGCACACGCACACGCACACGCACACCAGGTACAGTGGTCAGCTGAATGACCCCTGGTTTACCTGTCTGCAAGGCAAACAAAACACAACATCCCTGCAGACTTTGTCCCCTCTTATCTCAGGTGACAGGATGAAATGAAGCTCCGATCGAACAGTCTCAATCAATGAGTAATCATTAAAACAGTACTTTGCATGGTAGGAAACCAGCTTTTGGAACTACCTAAGGTTGTTTTTATTGTATTCGACAGACTTGTGAGTCACCTCCTTAGTCACCAATTCAGCCAGATCAGTGTGTAAAGCTTTTAAAACTGATCTGAAGCTACAAAACAAACCCCTTTATTAACTTTGTCATAAATTAAACATTCCCAGCAGAGAGTTTCCTTTATTCCAGGTGCATGCCCTTCTCTTTATTCATAATGCCATGCAACGTATCATTAATGGGGAGGGTGACACGGAGAGAGGGTGAATTACCTGCTCTCTCCTCCTGCGTTATAAACCCAATGTGAGGACTCACCATTATCAGCTCCCCAGCCTCTCATACCGACAAGTGATTTGTGCCCGCATTACTCATCCTGACACAAAATTACATTACTCATCTGTTAGCCACAGCCTCTCTGAGCTCAACTACAGAACAATAGAGCTCAAGCTAATTGATTTGTTGGAAGGATATGTTACTTGTTTGGGCAGATTAACATATCTGACACAGAGCTATACTGTACCTTTGTACCTTGCTTTTTCTAGCTGTAACTTACCACTTGACAAGTAAAACACTGAGACCCGTGCAAACACGCTACAACGGCCCACAATACCTACAGGAGAAACACGCAGCACTTTCAAAAACAATGTGCAAATACATAAACATAAATCTGTCAAAACAGATGCAAATGAAGAAACATCTTCACCAACTTCACAACACATGCGCAGCGTTTAGAAAACATTCACCAACTTGACGAAACATACGCACACTTTACTAAAAGTGCTTCATAAACGAAACACTGTAAATAAAAAAACTCTGTAAGAAGCTCGGAAAGAACGGAAACAGGGACACTCAAAATGTCTGCACACAGCTCGGACACGTTTCAGTGTTGTTGTGTTTTTAAGCCCCTTGCACGATTTTTTATTTTGAAGTGTTTTGTTTATGCAGCGCTTTTAGTAAACCTTGCGCATGTTTCGTCAAGTTGGTGAAGACGTTTCTTCATTTGCATGGGTTTTGACATATTTGTGTATTTTTGATTACATCATTTTTGTAAGTGCTGCGTGTTTCACCTGATGTAAGTGTTTTGGGCCGTGTTTGCATCGGTCGGCCACCGTACTTCCCCCACGTGTGCCTCTTCACTGTCATCTGTATTTGAGAGCCAAACTACAAAAAATAAACATCTAAAAAACAGGTCTCAGTGCAGCAAAATCCTTTCATCTACACTTACAGGTTTAGGGGTTAAATCCCCTGTATATCTCAGTCAGATCCATAGATTCAGTCTTACGGTAGAACCCCTACCTGACGCATGACAAAGAAACTGCTGAGGGAGGTATAAAGGGACTTTTAGCCCGAGGGGTCACCTCTTCTTCAAAGAACAATGCTCATTGGCTGACAGCTTACTGAGAAGGATTTTCCATCTGAAATACAAATTCACTTACAAAAGAGGGGGAACAAATCCCTCTGAGCACAATAATCATGTCAATACTGAATTAGCATTAAATAATTACCTCCATTTCCTCTTTTGCTTCACGGGCAGCAGGGCAGCTGAGGCCTGTAGAGACGAGGCAATGCAGCCGGACTCCCCAGATAGGACAGGACTTTCCTTCATATCCTGCCAGTGGGAGATTCAATTAAAGCATTACAGAGGTGGAGGTGGGGGTGGAAGTAGAGTCGGAGGTATGGGGGTTAGTTCAAGCTGATAGGGTGATTGTCTTTCCACAAAATAATGTGTATAGAGGCTGAGGGGAGAAAGATTCAAATGCTTTATTGTCATATGCACAAAAGTCGCAGGGCTTCTACTACAATGCAAAAATACAATATACCTAGACATACAAATTGTGCAAGAGAACGGTGTAAGAGGCAAAATGATGCAAGTAAAATGCATATAAGCAGAATATATACTGGTAAAATATAGTAAGATAACATAATATCAGAGTATAAGATGAAATACTTATTCAATAATAATATGTTATTACTTTAGCATAGTCGTGTACTTATCTGATTTTTATTTTATTAACGTGTGCTTGCCTCTTCATTTTATATGTTAGTCTACTGACTTTATTTTTGGCTTGTTGTATTGCACCACATGTTTTCCATCACTCATGTTGTCACCTAGAGTCAGACGACTGGAAACAATGAAGCCTTTTTGAACTAAATGCTTTAAATCTCAAGCTTTCTGTTTCGTCCCGTGTTCCTCCTCACAGTGTCGGGGTATGAGAGGAGTGCAGTTGGCTTTGAGACGCTGCAGCAGCACCTGGTGTGTCTGAACTGGAAACCTGATCACCAGCAGGTACAAGAATAGCTCGACGGGACCGTTAAAGGCCACTCCCTGACCTGCTGTGAACTGTCATTGAACTTCTGTTCCTGCTGAGGACCTACTCCTGCTCAGTGTGGGCGACGTCTATGTACAATTTTTGATTAAATCGTCTTGACATTTTGATAACAGATAGATTTGAACATGTTGCATTTAACAGTGTTACGCAGCGTCCACACGGCAGTGTGCGTTGACGCTTGCCGGCGGGCGTGTCTGAAGCTCGACCAACAACCAATCACATGAATCTCCCGCCCCGGACACAAAAGCACAAGGTTTGATTGGCTAGAGCTTGTACTGGCATATGATTTGATTGGCTGACGCTTCCGTCGAAGCTTGAAAAGTTGAACTTTTCTCTACTTTTGAAGCGAGCAACAGAGGCAAAGCGAAGCGACGGAACCACAATGCAATTCAGCAAAGCGTGACGTCACCCCATTCAAAGTGAATGGGAAGCAGCGTTGAAGCTTCAACGCACGCCGCCGTGTGGACGGGCCGTTAGGGACCAAGCAGTAAGGCAACAGGACACTGGAGTTGTTACAGAAACTGGGTTTTGGACTACCCAAAAAACATTATAAACTGCAAGATTAATAACTAGGCCTATAAAAAGGTCAACCGAAAATACCTCTAATAAATAGCACAGCAACTTAACAGGTGTTAACTCAACCAACCGACCTGCCACAGTTACAAAACAAGGAACATATAGAGAACCGCAGTGACGCGTCCTAAAACCCGGAAGTAAGTTAACAGTTTTACCACTGCCGGTTCCTTCGACAAAAAGCAATGGGATTTTGGAAAATATCTGGAAATAAGGTCTGTGTTTGACACAAATTGAAGAGACAGATCACGTTTTGTTCTACGACATTAAACACATCAGCAGTGACCCCACTGGTGATTTCTGAAGAGTTGACGTGTCTGAAAAACGATGGTTGTTACCAAGTGGCTGAATAGGACTACAGAAGTTGTCGACGCCGTTGTACATCATTACACCGAACATGTAAACACTCCTGCTAAGTTTGTTTGCCCTGTTCTGCTTGAAAGCAAGTACCTGCCTCCTGCAACTGTTAAAACAACGCTTA